TTGTAGAGGTGTTCACTCTGTGAATGCCTTGCTGCGGAGCACTCTGCTGGATTGTCCAGCGATTTGGAGTTGGAGAGTGCTATATGAACTGTGTATATATCTGTGTAAATAAATCCACTGTGAATAGTCAGCACTAGCAACCTGGTACCTGTGGTTACTAGACGCTTCATACGCTAACAGAGATCTCCCGCTTTTACACCTGATCCCCAGCTGACAGAGGTCAGCTCCCCTGGAGAAAATGGCTGCTTTAAAGGGTGGACTCTATGGCGTTGTACCATGCTGAGGCCCCTCCCCTCCCCAAACCCCACCCTCTCCTGGATCCACCCCCAAAGTCTCCAGGTATTTTCCAACCCAGACCTGGCAACCCTACACTTCTTCCAGATCCATGCAACAAAAGGAAACTTGTACATTGCACTGCTGCACCTTTTAATTTAGACAACAGGCAGAAATTCAACAGGAGAAACCTCCAATCTGCATTTACCGAAATGTATGCTGCTGCTCAGTAGGCGTTTAACAACACAGGAGCTTCTTTAGAGAAACAGAGTTCTGCTAGTCCAAAGCCCTATCACAAAAGAGAAACTTCTCACCCTGCCAAATTTATCTGCATTTTATTTTTAAAAATCCCTGTGTGGTTTCACCGCTCTTGCCCCGCAAACCGAGGAGTTTCTAAAACTCTGCACGATTACCAGTTTTATTGGAGAACCAGTGAGCCTTTAGCCGTCTGACCTTGCCTTAGATGCCTTCCTGCATGAGTCGCAGAAGGTCCCACCCGCCAGATGGCAAGCGCGTCAACACTACACATGCGCTGTCTTTTGAGCTCTGTAGAGCCTGCTGTTAGGACCGCCTCTTTGGCATTCTCCAAAATGATGGGGAAGCTGCAGGGCAAAAGTGGGAACTGTTGGAAGAATTGGTCCTCCTCCCTCCCCTTTAGCGATGGGCCCAGTCAGGGGTCATTTCGTAGAAAAAGAGGTGCAGGAGCTCATTAGCATAACTTATTTGCATATGCCACACCCCCTGACATCACCAGACGTGTGTCAGAAGGCAACACCCACCTCTCAGGCTCCACTGGACTGTTTTGGATTGCTAGCTATTGGGAGGGGGGGGGAACGTGTAGATCTGTCCTTCACAGAGGAGGGAGAGCTTGTACCTGAATACACCTTGGTCTTAAAGGTGCCACTGGACTGTTTTGGGCTGGGGGGCGCGAGGGCTTACCTAGCTGTTTCTTGCTCTGACTGAGGGCTGCTGGGAGCGGGGGGTGGGGCTTGTTGCACGTGCCTGCCCCCTGGGCTCTTTACTGCCGGAGATCTGCTCCTGTGCGCTCCTGCAGGAAATGGCCCCTGGGCCCAGTGCATTTCTGCTTTGAAAGGCAGAGAGAGAGCATCACGGTGGTCATCCCACTGCCATTCATTAAACCCGTGTCTTCTCAGTTCCTTAACTCAATGGCATTCAGTCCAGCTCTTCCTGATTGTATAGTACAATGGCATCCAAATTAATTGACTGCAGTGTAATGCATTCAGTTGCCCTAACCTAGATGGCACAGGGCAGTCTGAGATTTTCAGCTCTGACAAGCTAAGCAGGGTCAGCTCTGGTTAGCTTTTGGATGTGAGACCAGCAAGAAGAAGAGATTGGATTTATACCCTGCCCTTCACTCATAGTATCAGAGCGGCTTACCCAGTCTCTTTTCCCTTCCCCTTCCCACAACGGACACCCTGTGAGGTAGGTGGGGCTGAGAGAGCTCTTTTGAGGACTGCTCTTGAGAGAACAGCCCTGAGAGAACTTATGACTGACCCAAGGTCACACCAGCAGCTGCAATGTTCCCTCTAAGCTGTAGAGTCTTATAAGCAAAACTTCTACTTTGTGAGCTACTGGCATTAAAGCTGTGAGGGAGCGATTTGGCTCCTGCATCAATTAGTTTGCTCTGGAGCCCTCCTTCCTGAGCCGAGACAAAAATGTGTGAGCCGGAGGCTAAAAACCTGTGAGCTAGCTCACACTAACTCAGCTTAGAGGGAACACGAGCAGCTGCATGTGGAGGTGTGGGGAATCAAACCCAGTCGTCCCTGATTGGAGTCCAGGCTCTTGGTGATTTGAGCATGTCGCCTGGTTGAAGGAGCTCAGCTGGAATTTTGTAAAAAAAAAGTTTTTGGAAGCTGGAATTTATCGAAGGAGTCCTGTGTGGACCATATTGAATTTGTATGAATATATTATATGTTAGCTGAGATGTTAGCTATTTATACTACAAATTTTCAATAAGACTATCCTTAGGGCTTTACGGATCCATTAGTATTTTTTTACACAGTGCTACAGCCTCAAGTGCTGAAGACGCTGAATTGCAGACCGGAAGGTCGGTAGTTCAGCAGTTCGATATTCGAGTGCCACATGACGGAGTGAGCTCCCATCTCTGGTCCCAGCTCCTGCCAACCTAGCAGTTTGAAAGCAAGAAATTGCAAGTAGATAAATAGGTACCGCTTCCATGGGAAGGTAACAGCATTCCGTGCACCTCGGCGTCTAGTCATGCCGGCCACATGACCATGGAAATGTCTTCAGACAGCGCTGGCTCTTCGGCTTGGAAACGGAGATGAGCACCACAACCCTAGAGTCGGATTCGACTGGCTTTGGAGCAAGGGGAACCTTTACCTTTACTTACAGCCTCAGTGTGGTGTTTTTGTACTAAAACGTCCAGGAGGCGGCTGGAGCTCTTCCCCAATTACAACAGGAGGGAACGGCAACTTAGGCGGGTGCGCTTGGTGGGTCACACCCTTTGCTGACCTCCCTCCCCTCTCCAGACTCTGCCCTTCCGGGTCCCCGCCCCAAATCTCCAGGGATTCCCCAAGCCAGAATTGGCAACCTTACACTGTGCCTCACCTTTTGGGAAGAGCCCGAGATATTACCGAACATACCCCGACAGCTAGTCGTTATTAGATGGTTTTATTTGAAATACTTTGAAGTAAACATTATAGCAAGGCACGGATGCCTCTGCAAATTAAATAAGATATGTGAAGGCCTGGGAATGACACCCCCCCCCTCCCCTGCTATCGTTACTTTCGCTAGGCTACTCTGTAAAACATTCCCTAGACTAAATGTACATAGTATCAAAAAATACAAAGGGTTTTTATCAAAACACGTTCCGACGAGAAAGTGAGCAATTCAAAATGTAATAAGATAAATAGGTTTTCTTTTTCTTAAATTATTTATAGTAAACAATGAGCAGGAGTCTGACTCAACATAAAAAAACTGTATATATATAATATATATATATATATATAAAAAGAGAAAGTAGTAGTTATTACATAGAGTATGGGCGGGGGTAGGTGGGAAGCACACATGAAGCGACAGCAGGGAGGGGGGAAAATGAAATCAACGCAACCGTGCGGGAACTGAAAATCTCCAGGCCCACTGACTCCAGATGGAACTGAAAATCTCCAGGCCCACTGACTCCAGATGGAACTGAAAATCTCCAGGCCCACTGACTCCAGATGGACAATGTGATACCCCCCCCCCAAGTTGGAGCAAACATTTCTGTGGCGCTGATGGTGCCTTGCGGTGGCTCAGGATCACTCTATGCAAACACAGTTGTAGGAACCCGACGGGTTCAAACTGGGGTCGCCTCAAAAACCAATATTCTGTCCTTCTACGATGAGCTGCTGCAACCCTGGGCGAGGGGTGTCGAGGGGCTCTAGTTCGAGACAATTTATGCTGGAATAAGAAGTGGTCTATAAGGTGCTGTGAGACTCCTATCATATATTGAATTGCAATCGGTGGCCAACTCTGCAAGGGAGGAGCACCTCAGGTAATCCGCGAGTGTGGAGGGGGAAAAAAAATATATAAATAGGGACTCTATATGCAGGGAGTTTAAAAATACCTCTCCAGCTTTCTTGCAAGGTCTGTGCAGACACGGCGTTAAGGAATTGCGAAAACAGAAAACAAATGAGCAAAGTAGGGGATGCAGAGTAGCCAAAAATGGGTTGAGGGGAAAGATATAAAGCAGCGATTTGGTGGATTTGGACAGTGGGGAAACCAGAGAATTAGGCGAGTAAGAGGAGAGGGGCCAGTGGGCGGGGGACTGTATTTCCCCACCCCGGAGAGTCCCTGTAGCCACCCCCAGTTTGTGTATAACTCCCATGCAATGTATGGGGCCAACCGTTCACAAAAACGAACTGCTGCTTTCTTCTGCTGTAGTCTTATGTCCCCCCCCCCCCCGCCCTGTTCTGAATGCAGGAAAACTCTCGGAGGTGGGGGAGGGGATAAGACGGCATCCTGCTCTCAGGTGCCCTTGCTGCCCTGGCACAATTTCGGGGTGGGGGGTGGGGCTAACACTGGAAAACTGACTAGCTACAGGCAGCAATGCAAAATGCTGCTTGTGCAGAAAAGAAAACCCACTTGGGGATTCGAAAGCATCTCCTCCAGAGATGGCCAATTAAAAAAACCCCCCAAAACCCATTGGATTGCTTTTCACGGCATGGCTGAGAGGCGAAGCGAGCACGAGTCTGGGGCCGGGAAGCCCTCAGTGGACTGACGGGTCGAGGGGGGCAGGGGAATTTAGCAGACGCTTGCACAGTCCCGGCTGCATAAAACTGAACGGGGAACTGGGACAAAAATAGCAGAAGACTTGATGGAAGGGAGGGGGAAAGTGAAGCCGAACTGTCGAATGGGGCCTCAAATGGCACATGATTGAAGGGAAAGGGCTCCTTTTGTTCTGATCTGGAAGTGGGGGGGGGAGGGAGAGGAGGACCAAGAAACAAAAAACGAAAAACCCCCAGCGGAAAAATGTTCCTTTACCTCGAAGGTTCGGTCATGGTTCGGCTGGGGATCCTCCCCACCCATCCCCCTCGTCACACACTCAGTGCTACAGAGACGGCGGCGGTGGCGACTTTCGGATTCCCTTGCTAATTCCAAACGAACGGAATGCAGAGCCCCACTCCGAGAAATGAACAGCATATTTAAGAAGTGTGGACCCCCCATCCCCACCCTCTCCCGCCCCCTCCCTCGAAACCTCAGGGGGACACACACGCACACAAAAATCTATTCTTAAACATTTGGGGACTTTGAATGTTTGTTCTGAGAGGCCGGCTTCTCCGAGTCCCGCGACACTGAATCGCCCTCCGAGTCTTTCTCCTTTGAACTGCCCGCTTCCTCCTCCCCGACATTCATCTCCCCGTTCGGCTCCACCAGTCCGTTCCCGTTCAACTCCGTGTCCGGTCCCTCTTTCCCACCCCCTGCTTCTTCCTGCTGCTCCTGTTCCTCTTCCTCCTCTTCTTCCTCCTCCTCCTCCTCCTCTTCCGGATCTTTGACTTTATGAACGATGAAGAGGTGCCTGTTCAGAGAGATGTGGGACGTGTAGCACAAACCGCAGAGCAGGCACTGGAAAGTGGAGCTGTCCGTCTTGTGCCGAGGTATGTGCCCCTGAAATTCAGTCTCGGAGGCTGTCGAGAACTCACATTTTGCGCACTTCCAGTGTGCTCTCAGTTTTTTTGCTGGTGGATCTTCAGATCCCGATGCGGCTGTTTCGGTCTGCTCTGAACCGTCTGCAGATACCCTCTTTGGAGTTTTTGTCTGCCAAACAAACAAGAAAGCAGAGCTTTATTGCATGAGTTTCCAAAGGGCTTGATCCAGTTCCCTATAAGAACCAGGGATGTAAATCTTTAATACAGCAGCCCTTTAAACAAATGAGAATTGTATCATTTGAAGTTTAATAAGCCTGCAACTGGTCTACCTTGCATACCTTGCTACTGGTTTTTGCCAAGAATAATTAATATGCTCCAGCACGGGTCCCCAACCGTTTTCCGCCTGCAGGCATATTTGGAATTCATGGCATGGTGGGCGTAGCAACAAAATGGCGGCCGCAGGTGGCGGAGCCAACCACAATATGACTGCCTCAGCTGAACTTCAGTAACACAGTATAGATCAGGGGTGTCAAACCCATTTGTTACAAGGGCCAGATCTGGCATGAATAGGATTTTGTCAGGCCAGTCCATGTGTGTCATAAAATGTAATGGCAGGTAGCAAAGATACTAACTATAAAGGATACCGACAAACACAAAGGTTTTTTTTGAAATTTAAAAGACAAACATGCTTAAAACAGTAACACCCTTGCCATACTTTATTTAACAGTCTTTGATAACTGACACCTTCTAAAAAATGCTCTCTCTAAGCTGTGGAGTCTTGTGAGCAAAAATTCTACTTTGTGAGCTACTGGCATTAAAGTTGTGAGCGAGTGATTTGGCTACTGCATAAATTAGTTTGCTCTGGAGCCCTCCTTCCTGAGCTAAGACAAAAATGTGTGAGCCAGAGGCTAAAACCTGTGAGCTAGCTCACACTAACTCAACTTAGAGGGAACACTGCTCCCAACCCCCCCCCTTAAAAGATGCCTACATAAAATCAAAAGGTGGGGGGATAGTGGGATTTCGCAATGCAATTTTTAAAATAAAACCTCAAGAAAAAGCACAAGGATCATAGCAGAAACTAAAAATAAATAAAAACTAAAAATATAAAATGCTCTAAGCCTAGGAAAACATGAAATGGCTGGGCATTGCAAGCTCCCTCCCCCAGGTCTCCTAAGAGTGGTATTGGCTCTCCAGTGAAATGTCCCCCTTTGGCTGTGGGTTCCCAGGTTAGACTACTTACTCAGGCACCCATTCTCAGGTCAATTCAGCAGAGACAAGCTAGCTCAAAACATCAGCTCTTTATTTGCAAGCAGACAACTTCACCAGGCATACAAACCCTGGAAACTGAAACTCCACTTCATTGAAATACATTGCAGTTCAAAAAAAGTTGCAAAGAAAATGTGGAGTGAATTTTCCATTAAGGTTTCTGGGACCAGTTAAAATACTCTGGGACTGGAATACAGCCCCCAGAGAGGAATTCCATTCCCAGAACGCAGCTGTCACTCCCAGGGACTATCATTCCTCTCTGGAGGCTATCATTCCAGTCTCAGTGTAGTCTATCAGGGCCCAGAGACCTTAAAGGAAAATCCAATCCACATTTTCTTTGCAACTTGTTTTGTGCTTTAGCCCAGAGGTGCTTCCTGCTGGAGGAGAAACCAGCAAAGACAAGACCCAGCCAGCTGGGAAGTTCTGCAGTCCTCCCTCGGAAGGGTGAGGACAGGCAGGGGAGGGGGTGGGGTGAAGAAGAGAGCTGTAGGCCTGACCAGTGTTCCCTCTAAGCTGAGTTAGTGTGAGCTAGCTCACTATTTTTTAGCCTCCAGCTCACACACTTTTGCCTTGGCTCAGGAAGGAGGACTCCAGAGCTAACTGATTTATGCAGTAGCCAAATCACTGGCTCACAACTTTAAAGCCAGTAACTCACAAAGCAGAATTTTTGCTCACAAGACACAGCTTAGCGGGAACATTGGGCCTGACTGAAGCCCTTGGTGGGCCGATTCCGGCCCATGGGCCTTAGGTTTTACACCCCTGGTATAGATCCTTGTGTTGTGGTAGCAGCTGCTGCAAAAGCAACGTTTTAAAAAAATGTGCACAGCCAATCAAATCTCCAGCGGCCAATCAGAAGCCTTGCTGGGCAAAAGCCCTTCCTGGCCCCGCCTACTTCCTAAAAACAGTGGGCACCAGAAAAGGTGTCAGCAGGTGCCACGGCACCCATGGGCATCACACTGGGGACCCCCCGTGCTCCAGTGTCAAGCTTGTGGGCAGGCCACTAACACCTTCGCCCACACTGAAGATCACAAATGTAAACATGCATCTGATTTGCACAATTTATTCTAATGATTTTGTGTTTGAATGCACAGTGTTTGATCTTTGCAGTACATGGTCAGGGCTTGCTGTGAAAAAACAACACAAAAATGGGCAAACCAATGGCTGAAAATGCATCGGCTAGAAATGGGGGGCCGGGGGGGGGGGATCAATGTTCCCTCTAAGCTGTGGAGTCTTGTGAGCAAAAATTCTACTTTGTGAGCTACTGGCATTAAAGTTGTAAGCGAGCAATTTGGCTACACCATCAATTAGTTTGCTCTGGAGCCATCCTTCCTGAGCTAAGACAAAAATGTGTGAGCCGGAGGCTAAAAAACTGAGAGCTAGCTCACATTAACTCAGCTTAGAGGGAACACTGGGGGGGGGTTCCCATGTGCCGCAAGCAAAAGGGGAAGGCCGCCAGATGCTCCAGGCTGCCAAGCAAAAAATAAATAAATAAAAATTAAATTAAAAAAAGTAACTGCCCCTTGACCCACTATTGACGTAAAGCATGGCAGATTACTTTTGTCAAGACTTCCGCTGGGGCTTTGGCTCTGGATATCTGGGAATGGTCTGGGTTTTTGATGCCGTGCATGAGGCTGATGTGGTTCTCCAGCGCAGACATCTGAGGAAACGTCTGGACTTCATCTGTGCAGTACCTTCGGAGTAAAGACAAGATTAAGATCGTTCAAGTTCACAGTCTTGCTCCTCCTCCCCTTCACTTCTCTCTCAGGCCCGCCTCCCTCACAGGGTGTCTGTTGTGGGGAGGGGAAGGGAAGGGAGTTTGTAAGCCGCTTTGAGGTTCTGAGTGAAGGATGGGGTATAAATCCAATCTCTTCTATCTGCCTTCCAGGACGACCAATTTTAACTGTATTTTTTTGGGGGGGAGGAGGTTGTATTTTTCATATGTGTGTGTGTGCACTTCTGGAAGTCATGGTAACCTCTGGTGACTGACCCCTACTGTGGGCCTGGAGGATGTTCAGAGAGGGGGCTGAATAAGGCTTGCCCCTGCCTCCCAACAGCTGGTATTCCAAGGAGGTCTCCCATCCAAGTACTTGCCAAAGTCGACCCTGCTTAGCTTCCGAGATCTGATGAGAGCGGGCTTGCCTGGGCTATCCGGGTCAGGGTAACCGTATTTTTAATTGTTTAAACGTTTAAGGAAATCTGCTGATTACTGTGTGTATTCCTTGACGCATGCTTTGTTTGTAAGAGAAAGAACTTTGGTTTATTCCAAACGCCCGCTCTCCCCACTTACCAACTCCCCTCTATACATGTCCTCCCCTCCATTATCATTAATCAGCCAACAAGTAGTTGGAAACACATTCGCCGGTTTAATAGGTAACTCTGCTCTAGTTGTGCATGCTATTTGAGTGTAGGCTCTAATGCTCCTTTTTGAAGAAATCCTCAGGTGCCGCTCACGGACGAGCTTGTGTGCACAGCCGGGTGGCTTCCCAGGGCTGATTTGGTTCATGGGATGGCCTTCAGGCAACTGGCACGGACATCCCACTCACCTCCCCATAAAAGTCTGCGCGGGGATCGCTGCCGGGAGCGACCGCCAAAGGCCCAGGCTCTATCCAAAGAGGCTCAGAATCGAGCTTCCTATTCTCAGTCGTATCAGAGGGCGACCTTGGCCCAACTTAACTGCCATAACTTTATCAGTAAGGCAGGGGAGAGGAGGAGAACGGCTTCCCTTCTAGAGGACAAATAAAGAGGTATGCATGAAGGGAACGCACGGGCAGAATGAGGATCTGTTTTGTCTGGGTCCTGCTGGGAACCGCCTTTGTTCAGACAAAGCAGGGATTCGGGAGCCCACATTTGGCTGAGGGCAGTGACGGTTTGGCACTCTCAGACGTCAACCTTCCCTTTGATTCCTGCATGTCCCCTCCACCCAGGGGGGCTGGTGGAAATAACCGTCATCTGGAAGTCAGTGCTGTTTTTCTGACTGTTTTAAAGTATTTTAATGTTGTCTTAACTCAATTATATTGTATTTATTTATTTATTTTTTTAGTACCCGAGGGTACACTTTTAATGTTTTTTTTACATTATATACTACAAACATACATATAGACAGGGCTATTTTTGGGCAGGAACGCACAGGAACGGAGTTCCGGCTGGCTCCCGAGTTGGCCACGCCCAGCAGGAACTCATTAGCATAACAGGCCACACCCAACAGCAGAAACTCATTAGGATTGGCTACTTTAGGGGTGTGTTTGCCTAACATGCAAAGGAGTTCCTGCTACGAAAAAAGGCCCTGGGTTTTGACAACAAACAAGGTAAACAGGATAAGAAGCAAAAGGTGGGTGTGGCGGGGTTCACTGTGGGGAAGACGCCTCCCCCCCCCCTTACTCACAGGCAGGTATAAACTTTTTTTGCTGTGTCGTGATCGTTGCGCGTGTGTCTCCGCAGGCTATTGGAGGCGTGGAATGACTTCTCGCACTGCCGACAGGGGTATCTCTTTATGTTCTAACAAAGGAACAGAATTGGTTAGTGAAACCGCAAGAGCAGGCTAGGAATGTACGCTTTTGGTCAGGGCGGAAGAACAAAATTTGGATTTGCAAAGCCGTTCCTCAAATTACGGCACAGAGCTGCTTTGCGCGAGATGGAGAAAGAGGGGCTTGCCATCCATGTGCCGCACGACCCTGCTTGAGGAGAGGCTGCCTGTGGACTCACGGTAAACACGCCCGAGGCTCTTGGGCAGGAGTCTGTGGCAAGACTGTGTGGCTCTCAGACATATGGTCCTTTCTGCATTAGACCTTAAATCCTGGTTCAACCCTGTCCCCGAACTTACATTCTACACTACATGCAAGTTCACCCCTGTAATTATCTCCGGGTATTTTTACATTCTGCACTACACTCGAGCAGTGTTCCCTCTAAGCTGAGTGAGTGTGAGCTAGCTCACAGTTTTTTAGCCTCTGGCTCACAGATTTTTCTCCCTGCTCAGGAAGGAGGGCTCCAGAGCAAATCGCTCGCTCACAACTTTAATGCCAGTAGCTTAAAAAGTAGAATTTTTGCTCACAAGACTCCAAAGCTTAGAGGGAACATTGCACTCGAGTTCACCCCTGTAATTATCTCAGGGTATTTTTACATTCTACACTACACTCAAGTTCACCCCTGTAATTATCTCGGGGTATTTTTTTTTTCCACGTTACATTGAGGTCACCCCGGTTTCGCCCCACACTTGTCCTGGGATAAACGGATGCTGTTATAACCAGGGATAAGTGCAAGGTCTTGTGTCGCGATTTGAACTCTGATCAAACCAGGGATGAGATCCCAAGTGCGGAAAGGACCATATGTTTGCTGGGATCTGCAGGCACTCTCTTCCCCTTCAGCTGTGGAGATGCGAAGGGAACGTGCTGAAAAACACGTTCTGCTCTACTGATTTATTAAAAACATTTATTAGCCACCTTCCTACCTTGTGGAACTCAAGGCAGCTTTTTTTTTTTTGCCATCAAGTTGCAGCCGATTTATGGTCCTCCCCTGGAGGGTTTTCAAGGCAAGAGAGGAGGAACAGAGGTGGTCTGCTCTCGCCTGCCTCTGCCTAGCAACCCTGGTATTCCTGGGTGGCCTCCCATTCAAATACTAACCAGGGTCAACCCTGCTTATCTTCTGAGATCTGGCAAGATCGGGCTAGCCTGGGCTATCCAGGGGAGGAAGGCAGCTTGTAATATAAATAAAACAATGATTATAGAAATACCTGAAGACCACAATTTAAAATCTTCAGTCAGGAAATCCAATACATTAAAAGTAAATTAGTCAAATGCAGTCCTAAACAAAATTGTCTCCAACTGCCTCCTGAAGATCGAAAGTGAGGCGGCCAAGTGCACCTCCCTGGGGAGGCTGTTCCATAATCGTGGGGCTGCCCCTGAAAAGGCCCTGTCCCGTGTGCCCTCCAAATGAGCTTCTCTGATTGACGGGCAGACAAGAGAGCTTCTCTGTGTGATCTTAATTCCTGGGCAGAAAGGTACAGGAGAATATGGTCCTTCACATCGCACCAAACGGCTCCTGGTCATAATTAATTAATTATCGTATGGCATTGTGTGTAGTATAGCCAGATGATCCTAAAATTGTCTGGCAGCTAGAAGTTCTAGCTCTTTAGCGTTATGCACCACTAGGTGGTGAGCTAGACTTGGTTTTTAGGCAAGAGACAATTCAGATGTAGTTTGCCACTGCCTGCCTCTGCATCACAGCCCTGGTATTCCTTGGAGGTCTCCCATCCAAACACTAGTCAGGGCTGACCCTGCTTAGCTTCCAAGATCTGACAAAGATCGGGCCAGCCTGGGCTAAATTCACTTGCTTGCGTCAAGGACACTGATGCCCTCAGTCTCATTTCCCTCCTTGTAAAAAGGGTGCCGAGACCATTTTTACGCTATCACAGTCTTTCTGCAGGATATATTTTGACACGCTGTCCCAAACGCATGCAATACGCCAAAGGCACCAACCTTACAGACTCTCGCGTTCTTATGGTTGTGCGTTGTACAGCTACAACACTTTTGTTGTGTTTGTGGGAAGAAGAACCAAATGTGGCACCAATGTCTCCGCAAGACCCGTACCTTTCCGTGGCTTTTTTTCATATGAGACACGTAGGTTTCGCGGTCAGGGATCCCCTGCGAGCACTCCCGGCAGGTCCAACTGCAGGGTTTTGCCTTGGCCTTCGATTCTGGGCTCGTGTCTTTCATGGGCAGAGGCGTCTGGGGAGTACCGTTGACGACTGACAGCTCCTTTGATGTGGGGAGGGCATTACTGGTCGCTGCCGTCTCGGACTTCTGGCGAAAGCTGGCGAGATCCTCGGGGTTTTCGGGGACTCCATGGACACTCTAAAAAACAAACGGGAACGGGAAGGGGTCATGCGGAGAACAGAATGAGAAAACGATTGAAAATTTGTCCGCATACTCAACTTATACACACACAAAAAATGAATATGGCTCTTTCAAACAGCTCGCTCAGCTGGGAAAAGAGTGAAGTGGGCTCTGTAGTCATCACCCGGACAAGAGCGCCCTGAATCACTGCAAACATGAAAAAGAAAGTGGTACGTTCCTCTTTGGACCATACCACCTGAAACTGCAAAGAGGAGACCGGCGCATGTTCCTCTGTTAAGAAATACTCCCTGAAAATGAAAGGTTAGCATACTGGTGAGACAGTACGAGAACGAGCATGGTGCAGTGGCAGTAGGATCCTGAGAGAGCTGGGTTCGAATCCCCCATGTCTACCACGGAAGCTCACAGGCTGACCTTGGGCCTGTCACAAACTCTCGGCCCGGCCTACCTCGCAGGGCTGTGGTGAGAAAACGGAGGGGGGGAGAACATTGCTCTGAGCCACCGTGAGTCCCAACTGGGGGGAAAGCAGGACAGAAATAAACACAAGAGGACACACCCAGGGTGGAGCCTAGCCATTTCTCCTGGAGGCACTGCCTTTCCAAAAACTGTCAGCTCTTCGCTACGGGGGGAAAAACATTGTTCCCCTTCCATGTGACCTAAAAGGGTACACATCCTCATAAAATGGCACACCCCCATACATACTTGTTCTATACAGAGCAGAAGTGCATGTAGGGGGAAATCAGCAACGTTGAGTCAGATCGAGCGCGGGTCTGGAAAAGCAGTCAGTACAAGCCCAACTGTGCAGTTGCTCTTCAGTTGCATTGTTTATAGTAAAGACGATTAACATTAATGTAATCTGAGAATAGGAGCTGCGGCGGCTCAAGTGGTTAAGACGCTGAAACTGCAGGCTGTGGAAGGTCGGTAGTTCAGCAGTTCGAGACCCGAGTGTGCCGCATGACGGAGTGAGCTCCCATCTCTAGTTCCAGCTCTTGCCAACCTAGCAGTTCGAAAGCAAGAAATTGCAAGTAGATAAATAGGTACCACTTCAGTGGGAAGGTAACAGCGTTCCGTGCAGCTTGGTGTTTAGTCATGCTGGCCACAGGACCACGGAAACGTCTTCGGACAGCGCTGGCTCTTCGGCTTTGAAACGGAGATGAACACCGCAACCCCAGAGTCGGATTCGACAGGCTTTCGAGCAAGGGAACCTTTACCTTTACCTAATCTGAAAATATGTACCATAGTTTGGCTATCATGGCTGTAAGGTGGGGCCTGTCTTCTGGAAACAGTCAAAGACACAGTTCCCAGAGAGATTCTGGGACACAGACTGACAGACAGATGGACACACAGAGTCTAAGATGATGTGATTAGATATTGGCTGGATCGTAAGTAAACTGCATTCATCAGTGTCTCGCAAACAGCCCCGTTCACAATTTTCATAACATTTGTATTGACCTGTGTCTTGCTGCCTTATTGATGTGATTTTTCCCTGCACTATTTAATCTTCATAGCGGGCCTTATTGGGGCATATCGGACCTTTTCCAGATGATGAGCAACAGGCATAGGGCGTCTGTGCTATTTGCATGTGGCAACTGCTTGCAATTTAAGGTGGAAACAAAATGAAGGAAATAAAGGGGGAAATGACTGACTGTGAAAAGGAACAAAAAAAAGAGAGAGGAATCAAACGGTGCCCAGGATAAGAAGGCGCAAGGCAGCCGCCCTTGCGGACAGCATGGTGAGAAGGCTATATATTTAAACGGCAGCATTTCTGGAACAAGATAATCCATTACTGCATAGGTATACCAGGGCCTGGATCCTATGGAACTACTGCCCAATTAGTGGCATGCTCCTCTGGTGCGAGGCCCTTTCCCCTGAGGCCAGAGCCAAGCTTCAGACTGCAAACCCATTAGGAAGAAGTGAAGTATCAATGATTTTGAATAATATCACATTAGTATGTCTAGCTCCATTGGGGGCACAGTTTGGCTGTTCTGTCCTAAGCACTGATATGCCTCGGAAAGGGAAAAAATCCTCAATGAATCAAGTCATCAACAATGCAGCAGATGCTGTTCAAGAATCCACAAACGTCTCATAGGACTTGCCTAGAAGACTTGCAGCATCTGAGCCAAATCAGACTTAAAGATTCACGGCAACCCAAGAGGTGGCCACAGCTCAGTGGCAGAGCCTCCGCTTTGCGTGCAGAAGGTACAAGGTTCAATCCCTGGCATCTTCAGTTAAAGGACCAGGCAGTAGGTGCTGAGAAAGACCTCAGCCTGAGACCCTGGAGAGCAGCTGCCAGTCTGAGTAGACAATACTGACCTTGATGGACCAAGGCTCTGATTCAGTATAAGGCAGTTTCATGCATGTGTTCAAGAGACTACTCCATTTAAGCTAAAAACTATCTCCGCTGGTTGTAGTGTTCAGTTTCGTAGTGATGATCCGTCCTGTGGTTGTCAAACGTTGTATAAAAGGTGCTCATGACCAATGCTCCCTCTAAGCTGTGGAGTCTTGTGAGCAAAAATTCTCTCCTCCCCATCTGAAAAGATCCCCTTAAAGGTCAAGTCGTATATCTCGATATCCTATCTTTGACAACAAACCTTGAACATCATTTAGAAAAAGCAGACATTTGGAAAAAGCTTGCAGTACAGTCCTCTTGGGACAGTATCAATTTGGGATGCGGGTGATATATTTGAATGCTTCCTCTGTTAAAGGTCTCCTCCTTCAAGAAAGCTAGCATAGGTAGAAAGTTTCTAGCCGGGACTTCTCATTGATGCACTCATTTTCTCCATGCAGTGACTTCTTGATGCGCAAGAGAATCAGCACGTATGACCACTTCCTGGCATCCTGAAGAGGTATGACTGTACCGCATGCTTTCTCTGGACACACGCGTCAGCTTTTTAAGACTGTTTATGAAAATGTACTTCCAGTGAACCACATCTGCTTGGCATGCAGAAGGTCCGAGGCTCAATCCCTGGCGTCCCCAGGTGAAAGGACCAGGCAGGAGGTGATGGGAAAGATCTCAGCCTGAGACTTTGGAGAGCCCCTGCCAGTCTGAGTAGACAGTCCTGACCTGGATGGACCCGGGGGTCTGTTTCAGTACAAGGCAGTTTCATGTGTCCCGTGACCTGAAATATGCGTCTCCCCCCCCCAATCTCCCCCCTCCTTGCCAGCTCCACAGGTCTGATGGGGTGGTGGTGGAAAATGCCATCGAGTCACAGCTAACTTACGGTGACCTCGCGGGGTTTTCAAAGCAAGAGACGTGGTTTGCCATGGCCTGCCTCCGTGTCCCGACCCTGGTATTCCTTGGAGGTCCCCCATCCAAACAGTCGCCAGGGCTGACCCTGCTTAGCCTCTGAAACCTGACGAGATGACCATCCAGGTCAGGGCGGGTCTGACGTGCACAAAGGGAAAGGGAAAGGGGAGGGGGGAGGGGGTCCCGCGCAGGCCCCGCGTCCTCTTCGGCCACCAACCTTGACATGCTGCATCAGCTGTGGTTTCTGCATATACACCAGCTGGCACTGCGGACACTTGAAGACCCCCACCGTCAGCCGGCTGGCGTTCTGCTGGAAATGCTCCTGCAGAAGCCGCTTCTTGTTGAAGACCGTCTCGCAGGAACATTTGTAGATCACCCTGGAAGGACAAGATTTTAAAAAACCCAAAAACTGTCAGTCACCGGAGAGAGGTGAAAGGAAAGAGAACAACTCCCATTCTCAGGTTTTTTTTCCCACCACCAAAAGACCTGTTATCTGAAACCTCAAGAGCAGTCGTGCTGGATCAGACCTATGGTCCTTCTAGGTCAGCATTTTAACAGCGGCCACTTCGATGCTGAAGGGGGGCCCACCACCAGGGCTGGGGGGGGGGGGGGGGCCCCCCCCCCCGAACCCAGAGGCTCCATTTCAGTAATAATCTCTCCTTATTATAAAGCCAATTTGGGGTGGGACTTCTGTCCTATGGGGTGGCGAGATTCCATTCACTCCCTCAGCCATTGGCCTGTTGGCTGCCACTCGGGGCTACTGGTGTGCCATTGGCTGGGTTGGGTAGGAACGAGGCTCGCCGCCTTGGCCCGCACAAGGCTGGAATGGGCGGCAAGCCAGTGTCCCTCGCTCGCCGCCGCTCCACTGCCAAGTGCGCTGCTTGCTCAGGTGGCCTGTCGGGAGAGGGGCGAGGCCGGCCGCCTTGGCATGCTGGGCCCTCGAGTGGGCGGGGGGGAGGGACCAGCCCCCCCCGCTTGGCCCAGCGCCGCTGCCACCTCCAGCGTGCGGTGCCGTGGATGACCGAGGCCTGCCACCTTCGGCAGTCCCCGCCTCCAGCGAGCCTTGAGAGGGGGGACAAGGCCAGCTGCCTTGCCCCGCCGTCTCCAGCGCGTGGTGGCGGGAGGCGCATAGCTGGCCGGCTTGCCCCACCGCTCCCTCGGGTGCCTGGGGGGGAGGGGCCGTCCCACCCGGATTCCCCAGGGGAAGGCGCGAGCCCAGCCGCCTTGGCCCACTGCAAGGCCTCTCTCTAGGCCCCGTTGCCTCTCTTCCCGCAACGAGCCTTGCCCCTAGTAATTACTAATTATCGTATGGCATTGTGTGTAGAATAGTCAGGAGATCCGAAGATTGTCTGGCAGCCGCAAGTTCTAGCTCTTAGTGTTATGCACCACTTAAGCGGTGAGCTAGACTTGTTTTTAGGGGTCGAGAGAGCTCTGAGATAGTTGTGACTGACCCAAAGTCACCCAGCTGACTTCATGTGGAGGAGTGGGGAATCGAACCTGGTTCTCCAGCTTAAGAGTCAGTCGCTCTTAACCACTACACCAAACTGGCTCTCCCCCAGACAGCCAGTTTAGTGTAGTGGTTAGGAGCGCGGATTCTAATCTGGGAGAACCAGGTTTCCTTCCCCACTCCTCCACATGCAGCTGTTGGTGTGACCCTGGGTCAGTCATAAATTCTCTCAGAGCTGTTCTCAGAAGAGCTCTCTCAGCCCCACCTACCTCACAGGGTGTCTGCTGCAGGGAGGGGAAGGGGAAGGAGATTGTAAGCCGCTCTGAGACTCCTTCGGGTAGTGAAGGGCTCCCCCCCCATTTCAGTGACCACGGCTAACAGCCGTCAAATAGACCTATTCTGCATCAGTCTGTCCCGACTCCCTTTTAAATCCATCAAAGTCAGTAGTAGCCATTGCCACATCTTGTGGTGGTGAGTTCCATGTCAGCTGCCCGTCACGAGAAGCAGTATTTTTCTATTATCAAGAACATTTCCTCCACGACATTTTTTTATCCCACCCTTCCCTCAAGGAGCTCAGGCTCCTACATTTATTTATTTACTTGCCTCATTTATACCCTGCCCTTCTCCCCAATGGGGACCCAAAGCGGCTTACAAACTTCGCCTCTCCTCCATTTTATCCTGACAACAATGTTGTGAGGTAGGTTAGGCTGAGAGCTTGGGACTGGCCCCCTGTCCCCCTGAGACCTTCCATGGCAGAGTGGACATTCAAACCTGGGCCTCCCGGATCCTACCATGACACCCTAACCACTACACCACACCATCTCTACACAGGGCTCTCTGTGTTCCCATTTTTTCTTAACCCTCTTTTGCCTTTGAGGACCACTGAAAGTAGAAAATTAAATATGAGAGAAATGGGACAGGCTCCATGCTCAAAAGTAGAGAATGGCAGCCCATGGACAGATATATAAGAACATCAGAACAGCCCTGCTGGATCAGACCAATGGTCCATCTAGTCCAGCATCCTGTCACACAGAGTGGCTAGCCAGTTCCTCTGGAAGGCCAACAACAGGGCAGAGAGGCCGAGGCCTTCCTAAGAACATCAGAAGAGCTCTGCTGGATCAGACTAGTGGTCCATCTAGTCCAGCATCCTGTCTCATACAGTGGTCAACTCCAGTTCCTCTGGAGGGCCGGAAACAGGGCAGAAAGGCCTTCATAAGAACATACGAAGAGCCCTGCTGGATCAGACCAGGGGTCCATCTAGTCCAGCATCCTGTCTCACACAGTGGCCAACCAGTTCCTCTGGAGGGCCGGAAACAGGGCAGAAAGGCCGAGGCCTTCCTAAGAACATCAGAAGAGCCCTGCTGGATCGGACCAGGGGTCCATCTAGGCCACCATCCTGTCTCACACAGTGGCCAACTAGTTCCTCTGGAGGGCTAACAAGAGGGCACAGAGGCTGAGGCTTCCCCTGAAGTTGCCTCTTGGCTCTGGGATTCAGAGGATCCGTGCCTCTGAATGTGCGGGTTCCCTTCAGTCACCAGGCCTAGTAGCCACTGACAGACCTCTCCTCCATGAATCTATCTAATCCCCTTTCAAAGCTGTTTATTCCTGTGGCCATCACTACACCCTTGGCAGCGAACCCCACATTTTAATCGCTCCCTGCGTAAAGTAGTCTTTCCTTTTGTCCATCCTGAACCTACTGCCCATCAGCTTCGTTGAACACCAGAGGGCACACCGTGTTGCGCAAGGGAGGGCAGGCCCGGAGCTATCCAGGGGGTGGGGAGGAGACCGACTTACTGAGATGTCTTGTGAGGCTCTGCAGGGTGCTGGCTCGTGATGTGGGCGGTGGTGCTGTCGGCGGACTTGAAGGCCATCGGGCAGAACGAACACTTGTGGAAGACTTCACAGTGCTTCTCGTGGATGTGCACTTTCAGCATCGCTTGCGACATGAAGACGACCCCGCAGTGAGTGCACCTGGAAAGAGAGAGGGACACCTGTGAGTGTGGCTGGTGACGTCTCCTGACACACACCCCTTTGAGGAGCTCCTGAAGGGTGTCTTCTACTGAGTGGCTCATCGATATCATTTCTGTTTCTCGGGATGTTTGTTTGTTTATTTATTTATTAGATTTGTATCCCGCCTTTCCCAGATGGGCTCAGGGCGGCTTCCAACAGCGGCAAATGCCATAACAAACAGTTAAAACAGTATAAAACAATCAATACATAAAGTGCGGTGCTCTAGATATTAACTTATCTCTCCAAGATGGGATCCTTTTATCACCTAGCCTGGCAACATAGGTTCTTGGTCACCTAGGCGTCTTCCCAGGGCCGGTTCACTTATAGATCTAATCCACCGTCATAGATGGCAACTCGGTGGAGGCACAATGGCGGCGGCGGCTCCTATGCAAAGGCCTGGTGGAAGAGCTCCGTCTTACAGGCCCTGCGGAACTGTGCCAAGTCCCGCAGGGCCCGGATCTCCTCTGGGAGCTCATTCCACCAGACAGGAGCCGCCGCTGAAAAAGCCCTGGCCCTGGTTGTGGCCAGCTTGATATCCTTGGGGCTTAGAACCACCAGTAGGTGCTGTGCCCCGGACCGTAGGGCTCTTGGGGGAACATATGGGGAAAGGATTCAGACCAGTGGGTTCATGCTTGAGGGTCTGTGACTCAGTAGAAGAGCCTCTGCTTGGCTTCCAGAAGGTCCCGGGTTCAATCCCTGGTGTCTCCAGTTAAAAAGGACCAGGCGGTGATGTGAAAGACCTCTGCTTGAGACCCTGGAGCGACGCTACCAGTCAGAGTCGGCAATACTCATCTTGATGGACCAAGGGTCAAATTTAGTACAAGGCTGCTTCATGTGTGTTCCAAATGAAGCTGCCATACACTCAAATCAGACTCCGGGTTTATCACGGTCCTATTGCCTACTCAGACTGGCGGCGGCTCTCCAGGGTCTCAGGCAGAGGTCTTTCACAACACCTGCGGCCAGCTCCTTTTAGCTGAAGGCTGCACGGACTGAACCTGGGACCTCTGGCATGCCGAGGAGATGCCCGAGCCATGGCCCCTTCCCCCTTTTTTCTTTGAAAACACTCCCCCTAAACTGTCATCACAGGTCAGCTACCTGGACAGATCCCTCTTTGTGAACAACCGAAGCAACAATGCAATGGAATGCTCACTGGCAGGTGAGACGCTCACGGCTTGGTCAGTGCCTTGTAAACTGCTCTTTACTTTGCCCAGAGAAGTTCTGCTTAAACTTGCTGTCCCTACCAGCTGAAGACCTCTCTCACGGCACTAATCCATGGCAATGAGTGTGTGTCTGTGGGGTGGCCTGCCTGCTCTTCGGTGTTCCAGGCAAACTCCTGAAAACCCCAGGCCTTTACAATCGCTCGCAAAGATGGGTCTGAATGTCTCGATGCCCAGATTCCCTGCATGAGGTCCCTGGGGCAGCCCAGCACCATCTGACCACATCCAGCTACTCAAAGGGAGAAGATAGCACAAGCACAAAGCTCAGAGGCGGTCATGGAATGGAGTGGCACTGGAGATCCAGTCTGAACACAGCAACAATCCAGACCAAAGGCATCTCACAGTTATAAAACAACCAGAACTCCTCTTTGAGAAGATGGTCAGTACAATTGGGTTACTAATTTCAGGCCATTTTTATGGTGTGTTGAGATTAGGCAAACTAAGCAACACTGAATCACGGCGGCATGCAAATACTGGGGGAAATGAACATAAGAACGTCAGAAGAGCCCTGCTGGATCAGACCAGCATCCTGTCTCACACGGTGGCCAACCAGTTCCTCTGGAGGGCCAGCAACAGGGCATGGAGGCGGAGGCCTTTCCCTGATGTGGCCTCCTGGCTCTGGGATTCAGAGGATTCGTGCCTCTGAATGTGGAGGTTCCCCTCAGTCACCAGGGCTAGTGACCATTGATTAGACTCGTGGTGGATGAGTCTATCTAATCTCCTTTTAAAACTGTTTATTCCTGTGACCATCATTGCTTCCTCTGGCACTGAATTCCACATTTTAAACACTCTCTGCCTAAAGAAGTATTTCCTTTTGTCCGTCCTGAATCTACTGCCCATCGCCTTCATTGGATGCCCTCAGATTTTAGTATTTTGGGAGAGGCAGAAGAAGAAGAGATTGGATTTATACCCCGCCCTTCACTACCCAAAGGTGTCTCAGAGCGGCTTACAAACTCCTTTCCCTGCCCCTCCCCACAACAACAGACACCCTGTGAGGTGGGTGGGGCTGAGAGAGCTCTTGACAGAAACTGCTCTTTTTCAAGAACAGCTCTTATCAGAACTACAGCTTGCCCAAGGTCATCCATCCAGGTGCAAGTGGAGGAGTGGGGAATCAAACCCGGTTCTCCCAGATTAGAGTCCGCACACTTAACCACTACACCAAACTGGCTCAAAGAAAAAGTTCTTTGTCAACTCTCTCCACCCCATGCGTAATTTTAAACGCCTCTACCATGTCCCCCCCTTGGTTGTCTCTTTTCTAAACAGAAAAGTCCCAGACTCTTCAGCCTGTCCTCCTAGGGAAGGTGCTCCAACCCCCTCCTCTGTATTTTTTTCCAGCTCTACGATGTCCTTTTTGAGCTATGGTGACCACAACTGTACACAGTATTCCAAATGAGGCTGGACCACAGGTCTATACCGGGGCATTATAATATTGACTGTTTTATGTTGAATCCCTTTCCTAATAATCCCTAACAGTGCATAAGTGTGCTTAAGACTTCTGGTCATGTAAGCCGAAATAAATAAAGTAAAGTAAATAATCCCTAACACAGAGTTTGCCTTTTTCTCTGCTGCAGCACACGGGGGTTGACGCTTTCGTAAGAAAAACCAGGCCTTCACAGGTGGCTCTCCAAACCTCTGGCTACCTACCTGAAATCACAAGCCAATCCCCTACAGGCAAGGTATGTCTAACCTTACATTCTGCCTTTCCCCCTCAATTACTCCGGGTGATCTGTGCCAGATGGTAACAATTCTCCCAATTTACTTCTGCTCACACAGAAATAGTGCATAATTTTATTTTTTGCAAGAGCACATGTTATGCTGCGCTCCGAAAGCAAGAGCCCGGGGCTATAATTATGCTCAATGTTCCCCTTCTGCTGGAACGCAGGCTGTACATATATATATCTTTTTAATACGCTCATCTAAAATCACTTTAGCAGCTTTTGCACTTTGGGAAAGCAGCGGCAAATCTAGACTTTAAGGGAAAAAACAAAACAAAAAAACCCACAACACCAAAGCCAGTAATACTATATCAGTATGAATTATCACCTGGGACAAGAAATGGACCAGGGATTCATTAACTCGCTCTCACTAATTTGTGCAAAGGCTATCGATTTATTCAGCGGCTGAGCTTGAGGGCCCAGTTGCTTCTACCTCTTCCGCTATTCTGTGGTGGATGTGCTGCTTTTCAAAGAAATATTGTGCTCCCGTTCCCATGATGTAGCCGATATTGTTACTCGTGCTTGCATTTAGGACGCGTGGTCTATATTTTTAATGTTTATCTTTTTGACTGGGGTCCTCGACCTTTTCCAGCTGCAGGAACCCTTTGAATTCTGCCACAGGCTGGTGGGAAAAACCAGAAAATGGCTCTTGTGAGAGGACGAGTCAACCACAAAATGTCTAGGACCAAGGTTATGTAAGTTTCAGGCAGATGCTCTATTTAACATAATGCCTTTTAAGACATTTTCTTGCATGCACACCACAGGTCAGAAGCCCTGCCAGGCAAAAGCCCTGCCTACTTTTTAACACACTTGGTGCACGGCAGGAAAGGTGTCAGTGGGCCCTGCAGCTCCCGCGGGCACCAGGTTGGGGATCCTTGCTTTCGATTGTGGTATTATGGATTTCTGCATGTCGCTTTAAGGGCTGCCTTTTCTAGCCTACTATACAGGGTTTTAAGTGCCTGAAATAATGAAATACTAAGAACGGCTTCCAAAGACTGTCGTGAAGTCCCCTCCCCCAGTCATCTCTCGGTGTGCCTCCAGCTCCTTTAAACGCTTTTTTTAAAAAAAATATGGGTGGGTGGGTTTAAGAGCAAACCTGTAGCCAACTTTGCGCGAGTAATGCAGGCAGTTCTCCTTGACGTGGGTTTGGAAGTAAGCCGACCGACAAATGGCGCCGCACTCCGGGCAGCAGTAAGGAGATTTGTGAGCGTGGATTCTTTGATGGGCACAATAACTGCACTTGTTGGGTAACAGCATCAGGCACACTTGACAGGTCTACGGGGAAGAAAAGGGAGAGGCCGCAGTTAGCTGTTCTGCCTTGCAAGGTCTTCTGTACCTGTGGGTAGGAAAAGAACCCCTCTCTTAGGCACCCATAGCCTCCGGCTTCTCTGTACTTCCTGCTGGGGTTAAACCCTCCTGAATCCCCCCCCCCAATACTCCCTCTCCAATGTCCTTGAAAAATGCAAAGCATTACAAATCCCAGCTCTCCCTTCCCCCAGCCACCCCACCTCTCTATTTGCCAGTAATAACATTGCAGCGGTGGTGGTTGGAAAATGCCTGTCAAGTCGCAGCTGACTTATGGCGGCGGGGGGGGGGGTTTCCAAAGAAAGAGATGTTCAGAGGTGGTTTTGCCATTGCTGCCCTCTGTGCAGTGACCCTGGACTTCCTTGGCCGTCTCCCACCCAAGTACTGACCGAGGCCGACCCTGCTTGGCTTCCGATAGCCTGGGCCATCCGGGTCAGGGCGAAACCCGGTATCCTTGATGAATGAAGCGAGTTATGTTAGCTATGCATAAACAAGTTGGCTGCAGCCGCCCCGGGAGGTCCTCCAGGGCTAAATCCGAAGCCCTTCCTCTCTGCAAGGTCAAAAACGGAGGCTTCCTCAGCCAAGTTCCCCAGCCCTGGAAACCCCCAGGAGCAGCCCCACCTGAAGCCGTTGAAGCGGCACGTGAACCTCTAACTAGGGAGGCCACACGAAGGCAAAGGACGACGGATGGACATGTACTGCCAGGGGGAGCCCTGCGGGCACAGGAGGCGGGGCAGCTGGCTGTGAGGCCAGCACTCCGGACAAAGGGCTATTACAGAGGAGAGTGGAGGACTGACCGCCTAAATGCCACAAGGCAGATTCCAAACTGCGTTCGCTGGCCACTGTTAACTCTCGCTGGGCTTGAGCCTCTAGGGCAGCGTCAGGCCTGCTCTATGGCGGGGTGAGCAGAAAGAATGCGGCGATCTACCAGCAAGCCGTTCTGCGGTGTACGAGCACGAGCGGATGTGGGTGGCTGGAACGTGGGCAGAGACTGCTGGATCGGGCGGCTCTGAGCTAACCTTGTGCCTGTCGCCCGAGCTAGCGAGGTGCCTGTCGTGTTCCGTGCTGTAGAGATTTAGAACATTTCAGTGGCCCCTGAGGATTCTAAATTTTTTCTAAATGTAAGATTTAACTGAGATCGACCCACCGAGGTTCCACTGGACATCTTTACATTCTGTTGCCCTACCCTAGCCTCAGAGATACGGGTCCTTCTGAATTCCTCCTCCTGTCTCGTCACATCTTTATTAATTCTATCTATTTGCTCATCCGAATGTACTGAGTTAAATATATTTACGTACGTGTGGTGGTGGTGGAAAGGGCCATCAAGTCACAGCTGAGTAAGGGCAACCCCGGAGGGGTTTTCAGAGCAAGGGCATTCAGAGGTGGTTTGCTGTTGCCTGCCTTCAGGTCACAACCCTGGTATTCCTCAGTGGTCTTCCACTGAAATACTAACCAGGGCTGGCCCCGCTTAGCTTCTGAGATCGGGCTAGCCTGGGCTATCCAGGTCAGGGTTTTACATATACCTGTCTATCATCTTACATACAACCACCCACCCACCCATCTGGATATATTTATATATACATCCATATATCTATCATCTTACATATATTCATCCATCCATCCACCCATCCATCTAGATATATAAATCTCATGCCATAAAACAGCATATTTGAGGGTAGCTATCTTTGTCCACAGTACAATAGCAAGATTCGAATCCTTAGCACCAACAAGAAGAAGAAGAGAAGAAGAGATTGGATTGATACCCCGCCCTTCACTACCCAAAGGCGTCTCAGAGCGGCTTACAGACTCCTTTCCCTTCCCCTCCCCACCACAGACACCCTGTGAGGTAGGTGGGGCTGAGAGAGCTCTGACAGAAACGGCTCTTTTTCAAGAACAGCTCTTATCAGAGCTACGGCTTGCCCAAGGGCATCCAGCCAGGTGCAAGTGGAGGAGTGGGGAATCTCCCAGATTAGAGTCCGCGTTTTCAAGAGTCATCACTCCCTTCATCAGATGCAAGTAGGAATGGAGGCCCCCAAGTCCTTATAGCCCACTCTAATCAAGTTGATTCCATTTTGCATTGTACCTTTGCCTCCCAACTCCCTTCTCTTCAAGACCCCCCCCTCCCATCTTCAGACTGGGATATAAGGACTCCGGGATCGCCAATCCTACTTGTATCCAATGAAGGGAGCTTTGACTCTCAAAAGTTTATACCCCGAAAGCCTTGCTTGTCTCTAAGGTGCCGCTGGACTTGAACCGAGCTCATAAACGGCAGACATCACCTGCCTTGTTCCCAACAATGAGGCTCCGAAACAGCTTACCCAACTTGCCCAGAGAAGGCATCACTGGAAAGTGTGTACTGACGTCTGAGCAGAACTCGCACGGTCTGGAGCCCCATCTATATGTGACACCTGGTTTTATCATCAAATCCCTAATGCCAGCCTCCACTGTCCCTACACGTCCTTGTCACAGACACTCTGCAATAACGCACACCCCGATCTTGCTGGAGCTGGCCAAGGAGCTACAGGGACCGAGGATACTAGGAGGAAAGCGTCAGCCGCCGTAGCAGCAACGAAAACTGTTCTCATGGTCCAGTCTTTCCCTCTCCTTCCCTTCCCTTCCTCCTGTGCACGTACACAGGGCCAGCCTCAGCACACCCGGGGGGGGGCAGCTACCAAGGCCCAGGACTTCTGGCAGGAGGTCCACTGCCACTAACCTCCACCCATGCACCTCCCCTGCCACCTACGCTCCCAAGTGTCCAGCATCATTAAGGAAGGGCATGTGGGTGGTCTGCACAGTGGTGGCACTCCCGGTGGCAATGGCAGCACCACTCCAAGCAGGGAAAGGGTGTGCAGGTGGTGAAGGCAACTGAGCATGGGTGGTGGAAGGGCTTGCAAGGGGGAGAAGGGTGCCCAGGTGAGCGGAGTGCACGCGGGCAGAGGGGTGGAAGAAGGAGGAAAAGAGTTGGTTTTTATACCTGCTTTTCTCTTCCTGAAGGCGTTTCAGAGATGCTTGCAAGCTCCTTCCCTTCCTCTCCCCACAGCCAGCACCCTTGTGAGGCAGGTGGGGCAGAGAGAGTTCTGAGAGAACTGTGTCTGGTCCAAAGTCGCCCAGCAGGCTTTATGTGGAGGCACGGGGAATCAAACCTGGTTCTCCAGATTAGAGTCTGCCGCTCCTGACCGCTACACCACACTGGCAGAGCCGCAAAGGCATAAGGGGGGCCCTGGGCCCTGTCTGTCCAGGCCCCCACCCCATCTGGAACTGGCCCTGCATGAACGTCTTAGCTTAATCTGTCGAGGAACTGGTGTATGAATCGAGGGATCCAGCCTCCTGTGGCCCCTAGCGACTGACAACCCAAACAAAACCACTCTCCCATCGAGCAGCACAGTACAGGTGAGGACTCTGGGCCAGAACATGGGGGCCATCTTTATTTTCTCTTTTCCTACAAAGGGTAACCTCTTTCCCATCCCTATACGAAAGGCGCTGGGGTTTCCATCAAGCGTGTGGAAACAGAAACACCACCTCCTGACTTGGTAGCCTTTGTGAAGAAAATAACAACATTAACACGTGCGCCTTGCCAGCAAAGCAGATTTCTAAAATAACGGCCCCCTTCTCAAAGCAAACTCTTCCATCTAGCCAGTGGCCTGTCTTCTTAATCCTGCCTGAGAAAACGCCCACGAAGGGTCATCTGCAGCAACGGTGGCGAAGTGGTGGGCGGCATAGAATACTTGATATTGGTTTACATGCAGTTAGAGACTGGGGTATGTTGTAACATCCTGGAGAAGATGGCAAAATACCGGACACGTGGCTGATTAGTAGTGAACATAAGAACATCACAGAAGCCAATGTTGGATCAGGCCAATGGCCCACCCAGTCCAACACTTTGTCACACAGTGACCAGAAATACCAGGCGCCATGCAATTATTTGAGATAACCTTACTTTCTGAATTTACTATTTTTCATTTGTATGGTCATAAATCAGTATCTGTACTGAGTCCTCCGAGCAATCATGAGGTGCGTCGTTGAGGCTGTGTTATGTGAACCTGATGTGAATAAAGCTGTTCTTGGAACAGAAAACATCCGTGCCTTCGAGATCCAATGCAGGGAAAGTGCTACGGCGGGAAAGATTTTGTATTGTTAACAGGGTCTGCAAGAGAACAGCACAAAACACTCATGCCTGGACTCCCCACGGTCCCTATCTTTTGTTCCAGAAAACTTTTTACGCATTAGCTTAGAGAACCATCCCTAATGAAAACTGACCATTTCTGCAAAACCTCTCAATTCCTGGCACTTCTGGTCACTGATAATATTACTTAACATCCCACGCTGCGGGAATCCGCCAATTTGCATCAGACAGGAATTTAGTAGAGATTAGCTCAGTGTCTGCGCTAACTTAACTCCCCCGGCCAGACTGAAAGTGAAGCCGGGAAGAGCTGCCAAACACAACAGCCCAGTAAGGCTATCTCAGGAGCGCAGAAAGTTTCAAGGTGGGATGGGACTCCCTTCTGGGACTCAAGCAACAACCCCCCCCCCCAAAAAAAGTTTGCTAGTGGAAAGATCACTGAAGATACGCTCCCACCTCAATCAGAAAGAATACAATGAAGGTGAAAATGCAAAACTCAGCCATAATGCCACCTACTGGAACGTCACACTTTCCCCCACCTACGCCAGGTAACACTCCGACTGCTGATTTCATTGCATGCTATGAGTCACTCAAATAAGGGCCCGCCTCCTGCAGGCGGGACAACCTCTGTGGCTGACTAACACCACCATCACTGCAAGCATGGCATTTTTCTGCACTGGTGTGTGTGTGTGTGTGTGTGTGTGTGAAAAGTCACTACTGACTCTTGCAGGGGATTATATAAACAAGTTACATGCTGGCCTGGCATATTCTGGAACTCCCCTTAGGCCCCAGTTGACCCTAGAAACATCTTTAAGGGTAAAGGTAAAGATTCCCTTGCTCGAAAGCCAGT